TGGGGTCGAGCACCTCCAGAAAATGTTGATCCAATGAGCACTTTCTTCTCCACAGGAGGGTAACAGAAATGCTGTTCGGTGTGAATGTATTCCCTGCACATGCAGCACCTGCCAAGGGATGAAGGTGTGTGGAGTGCTCCAAGCAACACAGCCCAGCGCAAGACATATGTACGGCTTAAGCCTCACATGTGCCCTCAAAATAGACTTAAATGGTGCGGCAGCCTGGCCTGGGCCTCTGCCCAGAGAGCACTTCCCCCCAGGCATGGAGAGAAATACGGGAGTCATTGATTAAACAAGAAACCAAATGATCTCACAGTCTCGTACCAGTGGGAGCGGAAATCCATTGTAAAGTTTTCCTTCAGTTAATCCTTTGGGAAGAGACACTCCATCCTCATACTCTGCCGGGAGCCATCGGGCATATCCATGATTGGAAGCTCCCAAATAAGAATGTTTCCTGGAACATTGGGAAGAAAACAAACAACTAAACTATTTCAGAAAGGACCCACCCTGCAGAGAAGCAGAATTTCTTTTTCTCCCCGGAACCTACGTTGAATTGCTAGAACGACAGAAAGGAATCGTTTTGCGGTTCAGAGGCCACAGCTATATTCTGGACAGACAACCCTCCGAGGCAAAGACTCAAAGGCTCTTAGCGCAGGCTATGGTTACTACTGAGGTAAAAGGATGAATCCTCATGTTGTTGTCATACTCACATTTGTAATTCAGAATTTAAATCTAAGCTACTTACATGGTCTCCATCACTGCAGTATCAGTGCCCCACAATCCTCAATAGACCTGTGCTCCCAACCAGAGCTGACTGAAAAATGGGAATCCATTCCCATGAAAAAATGTGGCTTTAGAACCGTTTTCATCCCAACCCAAGACAAAATATCAAAAACATGATTTTTTTCCTGGGAAGGGATTTAAAGAAACATTCTCTTTTGGGAGAGCGGAAAGGCAATTTTTTGTCTTCCTGGCTGCCTGTGAAATTGACAAGAGCCTTCCAGCCTGGCTGCAGGTGAGACAAAGAGCCCTATGCCAGTGGCGGGCAACCTGTGGCCCGCAGGCCCCACGTGGGTCATCAGGGTAATCTGCTGGCGGGCTGCCAGTTTGTTTACATTTGCATGGCTGCCCACTGCTCCCAGGGGCTGCGGTTCGCCGTTCCTGGCCAATGGGAGCTGTGGGAAGCAGTTGCCAGCACATCCCTGCAGTCCGCACCGCTTCCCGCAGCTCCCATTGGCCGGGAACGGCAAACCGCAGCCACTGGGAGCTGTGGGCAGCCATGCAAATGTAAACACACTCTCTGGTGGCCCGCCAGTGGATTACCAAGACAGGCTGCATGAAGCCCACGGGGCCGCAGGTTGCCCACCACTGCCCTATGCTCTTCCTATTCATCTCCCCCACGGCTCTGGGGAGCCAGAGGTTTAGAGCACCCAACAGGACTTAGGTGCCTAAACGCATTTGAAAATCCCACTGGGCACCTATCTGCATCCGTTTGATGCTACATGCAGGGGAAGCTTAAGTCGTAAGACTGAGATCTCCAATCCCACCGGGATCACCTTGGATATGAACATTGGACTGAATCTATGGACTAATTCTAAGAACTCTTTACAACTCCAAAGCTCCCCATCTCTACTATGAAACTGATCTCAGAACTGTGCTCGTGTCTGTATGGATACTGATCTTGTAACCATACTATCTCTCTCTTTTCTTTTTTAATAAATTTTAGTTTAGTTAATAAGAATTGGCTATAGCATGTATTTGCGTAAGAGCTGAAATAGTCATTAACCTGACAGGTAATGTGTCCGATCCTGTGGGACTGGTAGAACTTTCTTATAAATAAAATAAAATAAAATTTTCAATGATCCTCAGCATATTTGACTTGGATGTCTGGGTGGAGGCCTAAGGCTGCGTTGCTTTAAGGGAACTGTGTTTTGGCTTCTGGGTAACCAGTCAGGTATTCGAGAAGCTGTTTTGAAGCTATCTTGATGGATCTAATACTGGAATGACCACCACCTTCGGGGATTGTCTGCCCCATTCTTCGCAGTTTGCCCTAATTAAGTAACCTCAGTCTGGCTCCCCTTGGACCCCAGTCACAGGGAGTTGGGTGCGTAACTGGTTTAGGTGCTTTGGAAAATTCCATCGACTTAGCTACTGCCTCTTGAGGTGGAGGATTTACTACAGCGATGGAAAAAACACCCTCCATTGCTGTAGTAAGTGTCTACACTATAGTGCTGTGGTGGCACTGCTGCAGCACTGCGGCTGTGTCGCTGTAGTGCTTGTAGTGTAGTCAG